TAATTCTAATTGCACATTTTGTCAGATTTTGTTATAATTCGGCTCCACGTCTTCATGTACCAGAAAACCCACTCAAAAATTGATATTGTCGCTTCCACTTGTATAAAACGGGTATGGACTAATCTTTTCGATGTTGTCTCAAGTCAAATGTGTTTCTTGTATTGATACTCCTTGTACATTACCTGTCGCAATATTTAGGTACGTATTCTTATTTTTAGTTTCGCTATTTATGTTAAAACTCATTTTCTTGTTTATCTATAGGGTCCGTCTTCATAATGTTTCGTCAATTTCACTGCTATATTCCGATTTTTCATTTCCGGCCCATTCCCATTTTATGCCACCCACAGTTAGGTTTTTGTACCCTATCTTCACGTTTTTACCTTCAACTTTTAATTCCTTGCCTTAGTTTAAAATTTCCTGCCTTATGACTGTCTCTTTTGTTTTTTTGGTAGGTCATCGTTGATAAGGAATCAACCTTTTATCATCAACGACATGAACATCATCAACAAAGAGTCATTATTTCTCCAGTAAGAAATCTGAGTTTGCTTTCTTTCTTCATTACCTTGTTTTTATTGCCATAATTTTTTATTTGTTGTATTGTTATATTGTTTCTTAGCTTCTTTGCAGATTTTATTTCGACATCCCATTTTAGGTTGCTTTTGTATAAAACCTTTTACGTTATTTTTTAAGACTGTTTCATCTGTTGCGACCATTGGTAGACCCGTATTTACAATATTATTTCTTTTTATATATTTTTTAATTCTTGCTAATTTGTTATTAACCTAGGTTAATATATTTTTTGTTTTTTTAATTTTTACTTTATTTTTTTGCTTTCAGTACTATCATATCTTCTTAATATCTCTTATTTTCATTCCTGATTTCTTTTTCCCTTTGTTTTCTTTTGCTTAGTGTTCTGACGATGAAGGTGAAGTTGACCCTTCCTCTTTTCTCTTATTGCCATCTGACGCGTAATCACCACTGTCCGTGTGGTGATTTTTATGAAAATTTACTTTTATCTGCTTGGTATACCATTTCATATCTCAATCCGGCCTGGTATTCTCCTATGATTTGATCTGTGAAGTGACACAAACACTTGTTTATGACGTTAAACCTAACACATAGTAAGGATAGGTTTCTATGGTTTTTCTGGTTAAGTTTTGCTCCCTTTTTGTGGACTGGGCATATAATATCTTTTTTTAATCTTCTTGAATTTCTTCTATGTTTCACATGGCAATTAGATAGTAAATCTATCTCTCATTATAATTATGTCTTCCTTTTTTAAAAATTTCAGGTGGTATGTTGTCTATATCTGGGGCTTTATTGCCAGTGCTTTTATTTGCGTGTGAGTACGTATGTTAATTTATTACTATAATTCTGATCTTCTGTTATGTCTAAATCCAGTACTGTATGGGTTCTGTTTGTTTGTATTTGCTCTGTTAGCAGATCCTTGAAGTAGTTTTTCCAGCCTGCTATTATTGCTGCATCGTCACTAATAATTTGTCCTTCGAAACATCTTTTTTTTATGTTTTAAAATCCTTATCACCATTATGTATATATTTATCCTCTTAATCTATTTCCATTCTTAATATATTGTTTTCTCCTGTATTCTAAGAGTTCTGTATTATTGGATTTTTCAGGTAGTCTAGGTTTCATTTTTCGGCCGTTGTGGGTTTGTTCTTTTCCTGTCTGTTTTAACGGCATTTTAATTTTATTTGTAATAGAAAGTGGCCCGAGCCGCATTTGGCTCCCCTCCTAGCTGTCGTATTTATTACGCTTGTTGCTTCTCTTCTATCTAGTAACAAATGATCTGTCTGGTTGGTTATTTGAACACTAGTTTAGAGGCATGTGGCCTTATGAATGCCTAGTTTAGGGAAAATGGTTAAGCTTATCATTCTCTTGCTAACTGCGAACTCTATTTAGACTTCCATTTTTATTACTTATGTGATGGAGGCTACGCTTACTTATTGTTATCAGGTATTCGGTTTCTTTTTTAATCTTAGTATTCATGTGTTCAATTAATATTATTTTTATGTCAGTTTTTGATAAATGATTGTACTTGATGTCTAGATGTTAATAACATATTTTTTTTCTTGTAGGTATTTTTCTTTAGTAAGACAGTTAATGGTAATAATTTAATTAATTTTAATTTAAAAGAACTTAGATTTATTTCGTAATTTACATATTCTTTCAAGTAACGGCTAAAAGTCTAGAGATTTTTACTGTCAGTTAGTTTACCGCTTTGTAGAATAGTGTGTGTTCTTGTGTCTTTGATCTCATTACCTAGTCATTTTGTTACTTGAATTGTAGCAATTCAATATCAGCAAGCAGCAATTTGTATCTAGATAGTTCGTTTAGTAGATTTTTTTACGTACCAGGTTTATTCAAGGTTTTGACATTCAACGATCCTATCTCGAATTCGTTATTTCCCTGCCTAAATCGTCGCCAATCCGTTCGTGCTATACTCAGAGATTGATCTATTGATTCCGTAACTTTTTTTTTCCACGGATGAGTAGTTGGCTTATCACCCAACTTACTGTTTAAAGGATCATTTATGCCTTCCTCCTCGGCCCTGACCCTACCTTCCACGACGATTGGTTACTCAATCTGTAGGGCTGCTCAGGTTTGACGGGGTTCACACGTGTGATTAAGTCACACCTTTTTGAGGTGAAAATAGGGATTGAGTATCAGTACTCTTTTGAACCTCCTCCTGTCGTGTTACCCTGTCTGTAAAATCTGCTTCTCCTAATTTTTAGTATTATATCTTAAAAATGAAGGCTTTCGTAATATGGCTTCATCGTAGAATCCTGAAGATACCCTATACCGACCACGATACTAACCAAGACGTTTTATTTAGAATGCAAAAAGAAAACGAGTTGTTAACTACGATAAAAACAGCCAAAATTACGGTCACATCATAAGGAATAGCGAAAGATATAGGTTGCTGCAATTAATTCATCAAGGAAAAGTAGAAGGAAAAGGGGACTAGAAAGGCGAAGAATTTTCTGGCTGAAAAATCTACGTATGTGTTTCAACACAACAACCTCAAATCTTTTCAGAGCCGCAGTATGCAAAATACAGATTGCCATGATGGTCCTCACCTCCGATACGGATAGGTACTACAAGATGAACATTTGTTGTTTGTATTCTTTATTAAACCAAAGATCTTTTCTCTGGTCTTTTTTAATTTGTATTACTCTTTAAGCCGTTTCCCATGTTCTTAGTCTTATTATATTCTTGTTCTTTTGTTACATCTCTCTGTTATAGGAAATCTCTATTAAATTATTTTCGAAGTTGCTTTTCTATTTCTGGATTTTCCAGGTTTAATTTTTCGCTCTTTGGATGGTTGTTCTTGTATTGTATGTTTATACAGCGTATAAATTTTATTAATAGTAACGAGTATTCCAAACCGTTTACTGTTTCCCTCCCAGCTCTGACATCCATTACGTGTCTTGCCGCGCTTCTGTCTATTAACATATTGTCGACCTTTTTGGTTATTTTCCATCTCCTGAAAGTTTGCTCCAGAGGAGCAAAGATTATTCTTGCATTTACAGATGATGTAGATGCAGTAGCACAGACAACACTGGAAGTTAAGGATGTAGTATCGAACTTTGAAGAAGCAACACTAAGCGTATGCCTGAAAATAAACGAAGAAAAAACTAAATACATGGTCATATCAAAAAAGGAACGACAGCGAATAAGACAAAACATTACCATAAACGATAATACTGGCGGGGAATAAATCATTCTTTGCCATTCAACATCTAATGAGGTCAAAGCTTCTCTCAAGGCGTGTCAAAATCCAAATGTACAAAACCATAATACGGCCAGCAGTGACATATGGAAGTGAAGCATGGACATTGAGAAAGAAAGAAATCAATAAGCTATTAGTATGAGAACGCAAAATCCTGCGAATTATATATGGTCGTATATATTACGGAGTGATGACGACAGACTGATTAGCAATGTGCTTTGGGAAAGACCAGATCTGGAGAAGATGGAAGTAAGGCCATGGGAAATAATTGCACAGGATCGGAATCAATGGAAGGCAATAGTAAACGCGGCAAAAACTTACGAAGAGTTGTAAAAGCCAATGATGACGATGATGATAAAAGTTTCCTTTGGACACTTTGGTTATTATTATCTAAAAATATTGCAAGGAAGAGATCTTTTCTTTGTAATTGTAACTTGTAAGTTTATATGCGTTGAAGTAATCATGCTTTTTTAGTATATTTTTTAGTTTTATCCAATTCTGGATATTTATCCACTATTCTTTTGCATTTCACACGAGTTTCTTAATTGTTGGATTCCTCTATAATTGATCTCGAGTTTTGTATGAACTTCTTATATCCTTTAGTTCTATTATTTCGTGCGTCATCCATTCCTTGTTGTTATTGTTATTGCTGATTTAAAAGTTTTTATTTCCCATTTTTTGTATCTATGTTTAAACGTACCACATCATTAGTCGTATTTCATAAATCTTTTACTTAAAAGTATTAAAGAGCGTATTTTCTATCTCTATTTATAGTTTCGGTTGTAAAGTTTCTCTAGATTTAGTTTCGTAATATTTTTAAGATTTAATTTTATAGATATTGTAGCAATAATTCCTATGGTTTGTAGGTTGTGGTGAGGCCAAATAATATCAACATCGGGGCGGGTCTTTACACCATGTGTCTTATTTTAATAATGGGTGCTATTTAATAAATAGATTACTTGATTTCTTATAAATTTCTGTCTTTTCAGATTACTAAATAGGACAGTTAAAGGGATATCTTAAGTCAATTTTTTGTTCAAATGAAGATTAAAGTTATTTATTAATAATTAAACACTTTATGTTGACAAATAATTTAATTTTCTACATCTTCAACATTTTGACAGAATTTCTTAAAAAATAAATAACAATATCTGGGACAGTAAACACTATATAAGACTAGAGCTAGTACACTTATCACTTTCAATATATACATAAGTTTTGAACACATTTATTATTTTTTAATCTTAAACTATTTAGAAGGAACACTAGAAATTAGTTCTCTTCTTTTATATACAGGTCCACTTTGAGAGTTTCCAGCTTTATCATCACGTTTGTTTTGAACTGAGGTCGATTCTAACGTTTCAGCATCTGGTATATGCCTTGTTTGATGTCTCGAATCGGTGTATCGCCTCTTGGTATATTTTTTCTTTTCTCTTTCTACTGTTGTGGATTGTGCAGTTTTCGTTTTTGTCTCTTTCATAATTCTTTCAAAATCTGCAGTTTTAGACCTTAAGACTGCATTGCCAATGCTATTTATACTAGGCGTAAATTTTGGTTCCCGTTGTACATCGGTTGACGGGCTATTATATTTTTGTTTGGTAAAAGAAACTTCTCTTTGGTATATTTTTGAAGGATCTTTACCATCTTTTACTTGTTGGATTTCTTGAGTTGATGAAAAGGATACTTTTTGAAGAGTAGGTGCAGTTTCTCGTACGATATTACTCTTTAAGATTTTAATTACAGCTTTTGAAGACTGAGAGTCATCGGGAATATAATTCACTGATGTTCTGGTACTATCCGGAGAAGTAGGGGGACTAGATGTCCATGACGCGGCTGAACTATAAATGCCAGCATCGGCAATGCTACTTGAAACTGATGTGGGAGTATTTTGAATAGGACTAGAGTAAGTTGTAGTTGATCCAATAGCGGAGTCGTATCCCGGTACTACTGAAATGGATCCTGTTATTGGTTGAACGCTAGAAGTCACTGATGAATCACTATCTAAGGAGTGGTTTCGTCTTCTAGGTGGCACTGATGGCGTCCTTATAAGACCTATCGTCATTTGTTGTCGACCGTTCTCTCCGTCTTCTATAAAAGGAATGTCGTCGTCAACATTGTAGGATAAGGACTGGTTTTGTGTATGAACAGGTATTGTTAGACTGGCAGTGATCACTCCACTGTTATCCAAAACATAAGGCGATGACTTTCGTCGCTCGTAAAGTTCATCACTGGATTTCATCATTCTGGCCATATCATCTGTGTGAGTGGAGCTGGTGGATTCTATGGAGGAAGATCTATTTTTGTTAAAACTGTCGTCATCTTTTTGACCCCGTAGTCGAGAAATGATGGTTAGAGCAGATGAAGTGAGACTACCTTCTTTTCCATCTTCTGTTTTTTCTCGACGCCTTCGGTAACTCTTTTCACGAATGCGATCCTTGTGCCTAAAAATAAAAAAAAAACTATATTTATATTTCTAATAAAATTACAAAAAAATTTATGAATAAATTTTATACTTGTGTATTATTTTGTAATGATATTAACTGAAAAGGAAACCAAGCATCGTTTGACTTATTGCGATGCTAACTAATTACCTATTTAATTTTCCTTCCAAAAATTGTCTATCTCTTTTTGATATCTATATCTACACAGTCGCCAGCTTTTTTACATATATCTTTTTTATAATTTGTATCATAATAACAAAATTACATGTATTAAAATATACGACTATTGGATCTTTTACAAATTTTGAAGGCCATCACATAGCAAACAAAAAAACCCAGATATTTTTATACTTGTAGAAATAGATAGTAAAATAAATAGTACTCGGAGCATACTTTTGAAGAGGCTCTAAAAGATATGGATGAAGGTATCTCAATAAATGGAGTCAAGCTCAATAACCTGTGGTATGCAGATGATACAATAGTGTTTTCCAATACCATAGAAGGGCTGCAAAACTTAATGAACAAAATAACGGAAACAAGTAAAAAATATGGACTGGATATAAACACCAGCAAAACCAAGCTAATGATCATCAGCAAGAAAAACATAACTGGAGCAAATCTGTATGTAAACCAAATGAGAATTAAACGAGTCCCACAATAGAACTACTTGGGAACTATAATCAGTGAGTCGTGGAACAATACCCTAGAGATTTAATGTCGCATCGGAAAGGCAAAGAGTGCATTCTTGACTATGAGTTCTGTGTTCAAGAGCCATGACCTCACCCCAGAAACAAAAATAGGGCTCCTTAAATGTTATGTGTACTCAGTGCTTCTGTACGGAGTAGAAACGTGGACATTGAAGGCGGAAACTCTATCAAAACTTCAGGCTTTTGAGCTTTGGTCATACAGAAGGATCTTGAAGATACCATGGACAGACAAAGTCACCAATGAAGAAGTACTGCGGAAGATGAACACAACTGCGGATTTGGTCAACATCGTAAAGGGCCGTAAGCTGCAGTACTTGGGCCATATAATGAGAAGTCTAGGCCGATATAAGCTACTTCAATGCATTTTACAAGGTAAAATTGAAGGAAAAAGTGCCCCAGGACGAAGAAGAATATCCTGGCTTGCTAACCTGAGCTTTCTAACACAGCTATTTCGTATAGCAACCAACAAAGTCATCATAGCCAGAATGATCGCCAACGTTCTGAATCGGACAGGCACCCTAAAAAGAGGAAGAAATAGAGAACATGCTTAAGCAGAGAAGCCATCAGGTACAATTAATATAAACCTTTAATTAAATTTAATATAAAATTATCATTGATGTTGCTACACATAATAATACCAGTAAATTCATAATAGTGAAAAATCCCAGTTTTAAAATGTTGACACGATTATTATTCAAATTGTTGCTTAGTATTTTTTAGGAACTTAACTCTTGTCTTTACATATTTGGGTTTGCTATATTCTTCTCTTTATTTACAGAAAGTTTTTGTTGCTCTGGTCTTTCAAAACTCAATCTCATCATCGTAATGTACAAATTGACCAAATCCACTTTCTCTCTGGCCTTAAGATGCGCACTAGTTTTTGGTGGGTTAGGGTAGGGAGATGATAAGATTGTTTTAGAACGTATGCCAGTGTACAACCAAAGTGCAGTCGAATATACAAATTTTCGCAATAGAATTTAATTCGCTTATGAAGCGTATAAATCTGTCGTGAAAATTTATTTAATTTTAATAATTTTATGAAATAAGGAGCCAATAATGGTAACGTGATTATTTCTATAACCACAGTACAAGAATTAGTAGCTGCTGGAATCAGCATCATGGCGGTAAAAATGTCGTTAAGTAGAACAAAGGCATCGAATTACGTAAGTTTTCGGCATTTTATATGAAATACAATAAACTAAAGTATCTGCAAAAACAAACATGGACAGTTACGACCAAGGAGTGGCTAGACGAATGACTAACAATTAGATTATGCAGTTAAAAGTTGTGTTAGCACATAGACTTGTTTATAAAATTCTAAAAGAAAAATTTGGCTATTCAGGTGAAAAAGAAAGTCTTCGTAAAATAATCCATCAATAAGAATTCCGATGGCGCAAAACCAAAACAAAGAGACTCATGATAATAAAGGAACGTCACAATATTAGAGATCTTTCGACTTAAGTTTTTAAAAAGAATGAAGAGTAGCGCAAAAGAAGTCGTTTAATAATTTATATGGATAAAACTTATCTATTCTGCGAATACACATAAAAATTGATGGTCTAACGATAGCCATCAAGAATTGCGGAGACCCGTGTCAAAAAGATAACGACTTTTAATAGGATGGACTGGAGGATAAAATGGTTTTATTTCCAAAAGCCAAATTTATTTTTAAATCAAAAATTAAATAAGACAACTGTCACGATGCCATTAACTATGTTGTCGAGTGTAGAACAAAACTAATTCCAAATTTACTCCGAAGAAGTGATCTAGTTATTGACAATGTTCCATACCATAATATTCCGTGGGAAAATGTCCAACAACTGCAAATCTGAACCAAGATATAAAACAGTGTCTGCGAAATAAATATATAGTGATAAGGTGGTAAAAAAATTTAAAATTGATAATATAATCAAAATGTACAATCCTGATTTAAAACTTATGAGCTTAATAAAATTTTGTAAGGGTCATGATGTTTTGAAACTGGTTTCCAATATTATCCCGACTTCACTGAAAAAGTTTGTGCAAATAAAAATGTTACGTGGAATCTGTCTGATGTAGAAAAGTTGTGTAATCTAGAAAACTTTGATTCGTTTTCAGCAGTAGATTGGGAGTCCCGTTGTCAACATGCCATGAAAATTAAACAGAATTTATGGCCCAGAACCCAATATTTTTTATTTACCAACGATTTGCTTTGGCATTTGTTTTTACTTTTGTGAAAATTTTGTATTTACTATGTCATCGATAACAAAACTATTTTTAATAACGGTTTTATCCAGATTTAAGCCATACGACTCACATTTCCTATAAGGAAAAGTGACATGGTATGCTGAAGTATCTCCCAAAAATTATCCTTTTGCACCTGGACTCGTCGAGAGTATTACAAATTTCTGCGTGGTCTTGTAAATATGTTCACACAAATCTCGGTGTTTTATGTTTTCTAGCAAATTTTCCTGGATAAATGTACTTTCGGAGTTCTTTGAATTCTTCATTGACTCCTTATTTATATTTCCAGATCTCTGTACTTCGCAATATTTTCGTTATATTTAACACGTAGATTATTGCTGCTAAGTATCGCTACATCACTTAGTGGTTTGTCTAGTTAATTTATTATTATAAGCACAGTGCGGTCTCAGTACAGCTTATAGTTGACATTATCAAATATACTCTCAGGGACGTATTCATAATATGGGAGGTGGTTGGTTTGGCAAAGTTCAAGTTTGTTAGTTATCTCTGGATGAACGATTTGTCATATCATTTCTTATATTTAGTTGCAGCAAAAGCCTGCCTGGCAAAGGGACATTTACGGATCTATATTGAAAACAAGACAGAAAAAATAATAGAAAAGAACCGAGGCCTGAAATGGTTAAGACTAAACTTGTAATAATCTTATTGAAGGATAATAGGAGAAAAGAACGAAATCCTAAAAGTTACTCAAACATTTTTCTATGATTTAGGTATATTCCTCAAACAAGAACCCAGATAACACTGCAAAGATAGACCTTAAGAGAGAGATAACGAATGTCAACTCAGAAATACTCCTTAACATAGAATCCTTGGAAATAAAACAAGCTAGGGCACAACTAAAGAAAGAAGGAGGTCAGAATTTAGGATCAGTGTAGCCTCCCTTTACTTACGTATGGTTCACAGACGTGGACACTCACCAAGTCCAATATAGATAAAAAAAAATTATAAGCACAAAAAGCGATGGAAAGATCAATGCTCGGTGAGACTTATAGACAAAAAACAAAAAAATGGATTAGAAGCAAAACCAAAGTAAAAGACGCGGGAGTACATGCTGTCAAATCAAAATGGAGCTTTGCAGGACACAATGCCCGACTGAAGGATAAGAGATGGAATCACAAAATACAACAATGGAGACCATGGTTAGGAAAGAGAAGCAGAGGAAGAACACAAATGAGATGGGCTGATGACATTAAGAAGATCGGAGGATACAACTGGAAGCAAGTGGCGCAAAATAGAAGACACTGGATTGGCAGCCACTGGTAAGAGGTTGGATGGTTTCTTTGTCTTGACATCCATATTGGTATTTGTTGTTTTGAACCTGAGGGTTATTGGCAATATGTTTCAGGAAATTACGATTTTATTATTATTATTATTATTATTAGTATTGCATTGCCTTATAATTTCACATTTGAACCGAACGGGTAATGTTACTATTTAAGTATTTCACTTATTTATTTCACAAATCATAAAATTACTGCACCGGCTATACGTTTCTAGGGTAGCGGTTAGACACTTTTCGACCATCCTGGTGGAAAATAGGTCTACTTCAGTGAGTCGTCCCTGTCCACGTGAGCTATGCTTTGCTCTCAATTCCTTACTAAGAGAAATCATGTCCCATTCCCTTATCTTTCCAAAATCTAGTTTCCTACTTCCTATGCCTCCCTTACGAAGGGCAGCAGCGATCATCAGTACCATTTCCACAAATCTAAATGACAGACGAGAAAAAGCAAATAGACCTCAGTCTGGGCACCTCTTAAATGGGGATAGGCTGCGAAGAATGCCCCCGTCAACCCAAGAAAGTGGACAGAGAATACAAATATACGACCGAATAGTACGCATTGTCACCTGGAACGTACGTAGCTTATTTATCTCCGGAAAAATAGCAAACACTGAAGCCGAGATGATAAGACTGAAAATAGACATCTTGGGGATGAGTTAAGTAAGATGCCTGGTTCAGGAGTACAAAAAACAAAACATGGATACTTATATTATTCAGGTGGAACTAACCCAGAACGTCAATATGGAACTGCTATATTAGTGTCGAACAAAATTGCTCAATCAGTCACAGAATTCATCCCTCTAAATAATAGAGTAGCAATGTTTAAATTACAAACAACTCACAGAAAACTAAATTTTATTTAGGTCGATGCTCCAACAAGTGACAAGTCAGACGAAGAAATCGAAAAATGTCATAACAATGCGACTGACGTCTTGTACAATTCTGCGTAGAAAACAATCTGTTAATAGCCAATACCTTCTTCAAACAACATCCTAGAAAGCTATACACATGGAAATCACCTGCAGACAGAAAAGACAGAATTGTTAGAAACCAAATTGACTTCATTTTGCTCAATAACACCTTTAAGAAGTACATACAAACTACGAAAGCATAGCAATCATAGCTTTCTTTGGAGCTGATATACATAGCAATCACAATCCAGTTATAATGGATTTTAGATTAAAACGATTTCTTAAAGTCAAAAAGAAAACAGTGACAAGAAAAATAGACATCTCACAATTGAAGAACCCTGAACAGAAAAAAAAATAAGTATCAAGCTTGAGGAAGAAATAAAAACGATCGAAAACTTGGTACAGACAGACATTGCAGTGACATGGACTGTTCTAAAAACAAAAATAACTAAGATACAAAAAGAAGATATTGGGTTCATAAAACACAACAAAAACCAATATCGATTGGATAACGCAAGATATCATGGACCTTAAGGGCGTAAGACCAAAGCATAAAACAAGCCCAATAGAATACAAGTGAATCAATAAAATCATTAGAAAAAGTGCAGGGGGCGAAAGAAAACTGGATTTCAACAAAATGTCTAGAAATCGAACAACTTCAGGAAATATACGACACCTTTAATATTTATAAAAAAGTAAAAGAAATGACAGAAAGACACAAAAAGAGACAAGCAACAATATTAAAAAATGATAATAACGAAATAATTATGGGTGCAGAAGACAAACTAGAGAGATGAAAAGAATACATACAAACTCTTTTTGACGACGATAGATCTTGTTCTCCACCATCCACAGATAATCGAATAAATGAAAAAGGCCCAGAAATAACCAAAAAAGAAGTGATTCACGCAGTAAAATATCAGAAAAAAGGAAAAGCCACCGGTCCAGATAATACCAATGTCGAAATACTAAAACTAATTGCAGATAACGAAAGTTAAAGCCTAGATTTAATAACAGCACTATTCAATAAGATATATGACACAGGTAAAATACCAACAGACTGGCTAAAATAACAGTCCAGAAGATCGAATTCTACAAGCGATGATATCGAATATTAGCTGATGTCTCATGTCCTTAAAACTTTTCTCAGAATTATCCATACACGAATTTACAAGAAGTGCGAGTTCCAGATGAGTGAGACTCAATTCTGATTTCGAAACGTATTTGGAACACGAGAAGCTCTTTTTGCTTTAAATGTGTTAACGCAACCGTGCAGAGACATAAATGTAGATGTATATGCATGTTGTATTGACTATCGAAAAACATTTGACTCTGTTAACCATCAAAAGATTATTGAAATTCTGAGAACAACTGGTGTTCACTAACAAGACTTGCGAGTTATCTCAGAACTGTACTGGCACCAAACGGCAACAATTAAAATGGAGCACACAACATTCGAAGATATACAAATCCGACGAGGAGTGAGACAGGGTTGCGTCTTATCAACGTTACTGTGTAATTTGTATTCGGAGTCTATATTCAGAGAAGCATTAGACCAGGTCCAAGGCGGAATTAAAATTAACGGAATCTTCATAAACAACATCAGACATGCTGATGATACTGTCTTAATAGCAAGCAACGCACAAGAACTACAAAATATAATAAATGTGGTAGTTCACCACAGCGAAATGTTCGGTTTACATCTAAACGTTTCCTAAACTAAAACTTTAGTATTTTTAAAGACACCAATAAACGTACATGTGTATGCCAAGGGTCAAATAATAGAACAGGTAAATGCCATAAAATATTCGTGAGCAAATATCAATGGTCAGTGTAATCAAAAAAAAAAAAAGAAATACTATTAAGATTTGAACAAGAAAGGAAAACATTCATGAGCATGAAAACATTTTTTACAAGAACAGACCTTAGTCTACAGCTAGAATCCGAATGATTAAATATTACGTTTTTTCTGTCTTACTGTATGGCTGTGAAAGTTGGACAATGGACTGTGAAATAGAAAAAAGAATAGATGCCTTTAAGATGTATATATAGACGAATGTTGAGAATTACATGGGGTACAAATAGTTACTAATGTTGAGGTACTTCGTCGAATGTGTAAACAAAAAGAATTACTAAGAATAATTAAAGAGAGGAAAATGCAATACTTCGGTCATGTGTTGAGAGGCAAAAAATATGAATTTCTTCAAGTTATACTGGAAGGAAAAGTACAGGGCAAAAGATCAATAGGAAGACGTCAGAACTCATGGCTGTAAGACCTGAGGAGATGGTTTGACTGCTCATCCGCAGAAATTTTTCGCCCAGCAGTTTCGAAAACCACAATTGCCATTTGGATCACCAACCTTCGAAAGGAGACGGCGTTATAATAAGAAGAAAGCTGTACGTTAACACTGATAATAAAGTGACTCATCACTCGTCAGCATCGAGACAATATTGTCTGCCTTTGTTTCCATGCTCTCTCTTCTTAATTTGCGCATATTATGACTAACGTGAAATTGGGCAACTTGTTCGTAAATTTAAAATTCGGTTTTACTTAAATAAAAAAAAAACTTGAAAAATAAAATTTTTCTAACAAAAAATGATTTTTCCTATTTCTTATTTAATTAAAATGGTTTGCAACATCTGTAAACTCAATACACATTGTCTAAAATTATATTCAATATATTTTCTGTCGTGTTGAATTACAGTTGAATCGGTACAGTACCTTCCTAAATTTACTTTTTTTCGCTATTACTTATATATTTGTCATAGTGCGAAAAATATTAACTTTTGTAAATCTTATTGACATGCTTTTATGTTACTTACACAAACGTAGTATTTTTTTAACTTACCTAATTCTCATTCCAACGTTGGGTCCACCAGTAGCTGCGGCTTCATGCAGGAACTCCTCTCTTGAATATGTTTTCTTCTGTTCTGCCAATTTGCTATCAAAGATACTGTCAAGTGGCGGATCATGGGCCAGTGTTACAGGAGTCCATGGCGCAGAATTGCTTTCGCTGTCTAATTCATCCACAGATCTAGCCAATAAAAATTAGTTAGACAAACGTTTAGATTCAAATAGAGTTTGTATTAAAAATAAAATAAAAAGTCTAAAATTATTTTAAAGCCGCTTTTTTAGACACACACGAAAGCCGTTTTTGATGATCTATTCGCCTTTCGGATATATCTTATGTCCCTACTTAATTTGTCCAAACAAAAAGTAAACCTTTCCTAAAACATAATTGTATTAGAGTAGTACACTATTTTTGTATTCTTTTTCAATATAGTCTACTTTCTATGACGCTATTTAGCTTTTTTATTCATCTAGCAACTAAATTTTCTAGAGCCTTCCAAACAGTATGAAATTTAGAATAGAATAGAATAGAAATATGCTTTATTGTCACTGAAAATTATTGAACAATTTTATGGACAAAGCTAAAAAATAAATCAGTCAAATAGTACAAAAAGTATAAAACAAAAACAAATATAGTAAAAAACAGAATAACACAATTTTAAATTAGTAAAATTATTGTATAACCTACATAATTTGTACAGACAACAACAAAATGAGACAAATTGTAGCCACTGCTTGAGACACCCAAATGTAATTATAAACAATACTAATTTTGTTTCTTTGTTATACATTAAGAAACTCGTCAACTGAATAATATGGTCTTTCTGAGAGATAGATTTTTGTCACCTTACGAAACTTAATGAAGGATGTTGCGGATTTAATTTCTCTTGGAAAGTGATTATAAAGTTTCTTTGCACGATATAAAATAGAATTCTTTACTAGCTGAGTGGACGGGATCGGCAAATAAACGTTACAATCCGATTTTCTAATAGAGTAGCCATGGTCAGGTCTATCGGAAAAAATGTTTAGATGCTTTCGAATCAAACAAACCGTTTCCAAAATAAATAAAGAGGGAAGCGTCAAAATTCCGTGATTTTTGAAGTAGGTCTTGCAATGAGTTGTTTGTTTGAGACAAAATAGATAACGGATTGCTCTTTTCAACTTAAAAATAGTATCAAATTGGGCTGCTGTACTAGAACCCCAAAATGGAAGCCCATATCGAAGATGGGACTCGAACAATGAGAAATATGCCATTTTGGCAGAAGATAAATTTAGTTCCTTCGAAACAGATCTTATTGCAAAGCAAGCTGAGGCTAGTTTCGTCCTTAAGGAGTCAGTATGCAAGGACCATTTGAGATCACTGTCAATGAGAATACCTAGAAATTTCACGGAGTTTACGATATTGATTTGACTCTCATTCAAAAGCAAGGGTTGCATGTTTCCTTTATAAGATAATGCTACAGTCTTATTTACGTTAAAGCTAAGTAAGTTGAAGTCTGACCAAGCCTTGATTATAAGTAAATCAGCGGTTATAATTGAATGAAGCGTTGAAATATCAGAGCTGCCCCAAGTAATACTGGTATTATCAGCAAATAGAAAAATTTTTTCTTTAATTTTCAAGTAAGTGATGTCATTAATGGAAAGTAAAAAAAGCATGGGACCTAATACTGAACCTTGCGGTACTCCACACTCAATATCTTTACAACTAGAGTCGGTGTCATTTATTCTAACCAATTGTTTCCTATCTACCAAGTAAGTTTTGAACCAGTTCAAAGACACACACACAAAGGCTTTGGAATAGTCGCAGAAAACGGTGGCGGAGGAGAGGTTACTGTTTAGTGATAGATATACATTATGTAACACAGAAAATATGGCATCACTAGTGCATTTATTAGACAAAAAGCCGAACTGATTTTGCGATAAAATATTATATTTAAGGAGAAAGGGCATAAGTCGAACTTTTATAAGTCTTTCAATAATTTTTGATAGTGCTGGTAACAAGGCAATAGGTCTATAGTTGCAGGCATCAGATTTTTCTCCACCTTTATGAAGAGGAATGACGATGGCAGTCTTTAGGCAGTTAGGGAATGTACCTTTTTCAAGGGAATCAGGACGATGTGCTTTTTATACTACGAATTGTTGAAATAAGTTCCGTCTTATCAACTGGTCTTAAAAAGAAGGTATCAGCAATGTTTTTTGAATTAGAGAGATAGGAAACTGGATCTTGTTGTGGCGAAATAGTTGAGGTTATATTTTTACTCACATTAACAAAGTAATCATTTAGATTTTCGGGGTTAGGAAAAGAAAAGGTTTGATCCGCTGTACTGGTTTTATTTCGAAAATCGTTTATTATTGACCAAGTTTCTTTTGAAATATTTTTGGAGCTTGTTAAGCGATTATGAATGTAGGATTTTTTGGCTACTTTGAGTAGTTTTATATAGCATTTTCTGTACTTGTTGATATAATCAGAGATGGGGATACTGTCATTAAATTTTTCAATATATAGCAGAGAACGCATATTTTTCGCAGATATGCGAATGCCTTTGGTAATCCAAGGTTTGTTATGTTTTGGCCTGATGTTTAATAGAGGAAATGCTTTATTAAAAATAGATACAAGTCTATTTAGAAAATCACTAACATTACAGTCAATGTACCCAGAAGAAAAACTCCAGTCAGAAGTCAAGCATGAATTATAGAATTTACGAAAGTTTTGAGTGGAAAAAATCCTCCTAATCGTCGAGTTTTTGAGTGAGGTATTTGTAAACTGCTAAACTTGGTATATACCGCTTCATGATCAGAAAGCCCCCCACTAATAACTGTAGAATGGACGTCAGCGGGTGGAAAATCGGAAACCACATAATCAATTGTCGAGGATGATGTTTTTAAGATTCTTGTTGGAGAATTAACGTGCATTGTGAGACCATATGATTCAAAAATAGTTACCAAAGACAGTTGGGTCGCACAAACAGCAGCATAGTCAATATTAGAATCACCACATAAAATTTTTCTGCTTTTAATGGGCAGAATATCTAACAAATTTAGCAGGCTCTGAAAAAATAGTTCAGTATCAGAGCTAGGTGATCTATAAATGCAAATAATGTATAGATTAAATTTCTTATTATAAATCAAAGAAAATTCGAAGTAGTTTTCACCCAGCAAATAGTCATATTTAGAAACTGAAGAAAAATCATTGTTATTTGAAAGAATTAGAGTGCCACCATGAGCTGAACTTGGACGATCATACCTAGCAATTGTGGTATATTCTTGAATGAAAGTTGGCTCATTAACTTCAAGCCAGTGTTCCGTCACTGCAACTAACTGGGGAAACCCTAATTCTTCCAGAAACAAAAATAATTCGTCTGTCTTATTTCTAATCGATCGAATATTAATAAGAACCATGCCAAAGTTGCTAGCAGTTAAATTTGAGAATTCTAGACCCTCAGAACACGTCGAAACATTTAAAAATTTCGTCTTGGAGAAGCGGTGGACAAGTAATTTTGATGACATTCCCTTGATCTTTGCAGATGGATAATTCTTTCAGCAGCGATAAAGGACCTAAACGCAGCTAGGTCTTCGTCTACCTCAGCTGGACCAATTCCATAGGCATCATGTAGGCTATTACATTATCGTCTGTCACAAAATACAAGATACTTTTTTAAACTGGGGACACGAAATAGTCACATAAGGTAAATTTGACTAATCTGGTTAGTGGTTGATTGGTGATCTTCTAGTGGTGGGTGCCGTGTCGAAGGAAGATATTTTTTTGTTGCAACCAGGGGTCGTATTTTTAAATTGTACGAATTTTTTAGTATACGGTGACTTAAATGGGTCTGAACCATTCGAATTTCGATGCCAGTATACGATCAAAGTAATTACTGTCATTTCAGTTGTAGCTGCCACTGGGCCCGTGTACGTCAGGTAAGATTTCAGCTGATAGTTTTTAATCGTTGTTATATATACTATTTTTAAATTTTTTTCTATAGCTGGCATAAATAATTATTTAATAGAAAAAATATAGTTAATACCCTTGCAGTGGCGGAAATTTAAGCGAAACAGAGAGATACAGTTTAACATCCCATTGTAAATCCTCTAGAAGATTGGGGCATAATAATAAATATTTTACATATTAACAAAGCCCCCACAGTGGATTTGACAGGCTTGAATGGCTCTTATGTGTTTGACGGATACTCAACCACCACATTTGATGCCCTTTTTACTCCTTTCAGGTAATGTAAAAGAAACGAATTGTTTTAGATCACAACATTACCATAAAATAAGTTAAGCAATACTGTCAATATTTCTTCTCTTTTTTATTTGAATTTTGGTTGTTAGAATTTTCAGTGATGACTGTGCAAATTCTCATCGTGTACGTATAAAATTTCGAAGGACGTTGAAAAATACACATTCATATTCGTATACGAAATTTTTCAATCGAGTGTATACGAAAAAATTTAATTGAATTCGAAAATACGACCCCAGGGCATATTCGGTCCAGCTGAATTAGACACAACCATTATTGGCTTAGTTATCTCTCTTTTAAGTATCAAATCTCTGGAGTATAGGAATGGACCTGGTTTAGTCAACGGTAACGTATCGATAAAAAAGTAATCCATATTGCATTTTATCAGTATCACATATCGTACAGCTATTTTTATTCAAATATTTGTATATGATTTCAGGTATAGGCTCAAATGACATATTTTGGGCTTTCATATATAGAATTTTGATCCTTAGATTAGTCACGATAATACAATAAACATTGTTGATGATTTCTAAGACAATGATAGTTTGTGAGATACTTTTAAGTTCATCATCAAATAAACTAATTATCCTTTATTTAATTTGACACTGCTACTAATTATAGTGTACACTTGCCACAAATAGCATCCAGTTCGACTTTAAAGCCTAGTTTACAAGAGTCGAATAGCTGTTAAAGATACATGTACAACTAACTTTAATCAAGTATTTAAGTTTGAAGGTCATTCAAGTGAAGAATTCACACTATTAAAGTAAAAGAACTGAATTTGAACAGCGGTTCAAAAAAGACAGAAAAAGCAAGGGAAAAAGATCGTCTATTATAGCACCAGACTTTTTATGTTTCGCAATTTCATCACGTTCCTGGAAATACGTCTTGCTCAGACTTTTGATTTTGTTCTTTACATCTGCTTCTTCTTCTTCTTTAAGTGCCCTGTCCGTTGCGAACGTTGGCTATTAACATGGCAATTTTGATCTTGTTTGCGGCGCTTCTGAATAGTTCGACCAATGTGAGCCTGACCCTCGCTTACGGTCTATTTTTCCCTGGACAATCAATTGTAGCAGACGGTACTTATCTTGTCTCATTATGTAGCCCAGATATTCAAGCTTTCTTTGTTTAATTGTATTCACGATTTCTTTCTCCTTAACTTAAACAGCTACTCGACTCATGTAAACCTTACTTTACTTCTGCGTTGCTTTTTCTTTCAAGTTAAGATACGTAAGCACCAAATAATATTTGACTTTTTATGTACCACGAAAATTACTGCCTTCTAAAAGGCAAACCAATTGTTCCTTTTGTTTGAATTTTTGAAGGACATATTATACGTTAAGGAATGATATAGAAACCTAAAGAAATTTTCTCTCATATAATGCTCTAACAATTCTAGTTTAACCTGACATATGTTTTTCAAAACATATGTCAGGTGTAAGATAACAGTTGTATAGAGTACTAAAAATATTTTATATTTTGTTATAGCTGATGTGCGATCTCAATCTTTTGTTGATAAAAAGGTTGATAAAATCCCTATCAAATAATTACCGGGAATGATGAAATTTACTTATTTTATTAAAACTTTACCTAAAGTAAAAGTTACATAAAGCTGTGTTTCTTCATAAAAATATACTTTCAAGAAACCGCATGTTTCGACTATCGCTAATATATTGATAAACCATGAAGAAGTGTTCTTTGTATTATCACTCTAATATATTTAAAAAAATCTACTTAAAATAATAAAAAAAAATATCTAATAATCTGTATCGCTTGTTGAAATAATGTATATTGTATACTTAAAAATTAAATAATCGTTTAAAAGCGTTACTCACTCATCAGCTGCAGCACTTCCATCCTTCTTATTTAAAAGCACTTCCAATTCCTCTGCATTAGTGTCCATCATATGAAGATAAACCTCGTCTAATAACTCCGCGGAAATAGTAAATATGCTCTTGTAGTGGTCGATAAGAGTCCTAACAACATTAATAATATCTATCCTATCCTCGGGTCTATCGGATATGTCTTTGGCGCCAGGTTTTATGCAATGTAAAATATTTGGCGCAAAAACAGTGGCAAGGTTACTGGTGTCCATTTTATTTCCCGGAACAGCTTCACCTAAAAATAATTGGCTTTATATTTTACAATCAAAAATGTTTTACTTAAATCACACAGTACACAGTTAAACAAAATGGTTTGTATCTGCCTCTTTAGTCCTGATCCTTGAAAGGTTTGTACTGTTTGTGGTGGTTTCTTTTTCTGGTCATTTCTTTAATTTCATGCATTGGTCTTTTGACAGATTGAACAAATCATCTGTGATTTAGTAAATCTGTCTTGTAGGGATCTTCCTCGTGGTAAGAAATTATCTATCTTTATATATTTGTTAATAATTAGTTTTACTCTCACCTGAATCATTTTGGGAATCATCAGCGTACTTGGCAACAACAGCTAAAAAACTAAGTAAGGCGTAGAGCGTATCTCTGTTTACAGAAGGCAGGAGTTGTATTAAATGTTGTAGAGCCTCTAATTGCAGTCTTCTATTACGTATCCCTAAAATAAATAATTCAAAATATACATATATATATATATATATATATATATATATATATATATATTATATATATATATATATATATATATATATATATATACGTGTAAGATTAGTTTTTATTTACTTAATTTTATGTTAGCGCGATTTGATTGCATCTTTGGCAGAGAAGCCTCTGATGGATGTAACGTACGTCAAACTATAAAAGATTTAACAGTCTACGACTCTGTTCCTGAGCCTAAAATCATCATGGCCACACTGCACGCCTGTTGGCGCTTGGATGGCTATGATCTTTCAGTGAGGTTTTTGGCGATGTTAAGAAATAAGTGCGACACTAACGTAGATTATGTTTGGCCGCACATTCTTTAGGAAGTAGGACTGACTGTGGCGGTCTAGGGATACGATTTTCTCCATAGTTTCGGGTACGACAAATACGCGCTATGGTTAGAGTCTCTATTTGGTATGTAGTTGAACAATTCAAGATATATACACTAGACAGGGCTGCATACGATCACCACATATACCCTGAATATATAATGAGAAAAAAAATGCAAGACGTATGGGATGGAGGAATCACTATAGGGGGCAGAAAAATCAGCAACCTGCGATACGCAGATGACACACCCATATTAGCAGCATTTGAAGTCGAAATAATTACCATCACTAAACGGCTAAGATAAGCAAAGAATTCGGACTTTGGATAGAAACCGGAAAAACAAAAATAATGATCGTAGACAGAGCAAAATAATAATTTACCGATTAACATCCACCAAGTGTTTAATTTTAAATTCGTAGACATATTTGCACAAAGGCGAATGGAGAGATCAATGCTGGGCCTGACCTTGAAAGATCGCGTAAGAAATGAGGAGATACGCCGACGAACTGGCGTAGACGATATTATACTGCGAATCAATAAACAAAAGTGGAGGTGGGCTGGACATGTTGCTAGAATGGAAGACGGAAGATGGACGAAGAGATTATTGGAGTGGAGACCAAGAGCCGACAAGCGAAGTCGAGGCAGACCACCCACCCGATGGACCGACGACCTAAAGAGAATAGAAACAAACTGGATTGCAGCAGCTAGAGATAGAGAGAACTGGAGACGTTTGGAGGAGGCCTATATCCAACAATGGATGTGAAAATTCGGCTGGATGATGATGATTATGATGAGACATATTTGTATACTTAGACTCTCTGATAAAAAATGGCGATTGTTTCTCAGAAATCAACTGTAGACTAACAATTGCCCAATCCGCAACAGCTTAACTAATTAAAATATGGAAAGACCGAACAATCACAGGGAACATTAAGCTCAGGTTGATCAATGCCCTTATTTTTCTATTGCAATATACGTAGCTAAAAGATGGACTTTTAAAGAAATCGATGGGGAAAATCGAAACACTTAAAATGTTGGTATATACAAGAATTCTACGCGTGTCCTGGATAGAACATAGAACCAACCTTTTTATTCTGGAAGAGCTTTATATATAAGATAGGCTATTAGTCAACTGAGCATCTTATTAACTTTAGCTACAAAGCTAGAAGAACGGGGATCATGAAACTGTTGGTATTGAAAGGAAAGGTAGAAGACTGAATACCAAGAGATCTATAACATGATAAAGAGATCAAATGAAGTCTCTGGGGTGAATATCACTACAGTAATCTGTCTTTACTAAACAAATTAGCTAGCCAAATTTTAAATGTAAATGTATGTATAATTTGAAAAAAGATAGAAGTTTTACTAAAAAGTTAGGAGGAAGTTTAAGAGATTTCAATTTATAGAGTTTATGAAATTGTATGAATAAATACAGTTTTAAAGGCAAAAGAAATTATCTATTAGATTTTAAGAAGAACTCTCTGACATCCGTTGATTTTTATGTTTACGTTTGCATTACGTTTGGATTAAACTTCATTTATAAATTATAGTGTCTCATGATGATACCTGAATCACGTGTTCGAGAGGGACCCAATTTAGAAAGTCAGGTGCGTGAACCGGCGTGACTAAAATTAAAGGAACCATGAGCGGGAGTAAACAAGAATGGAACATCACTCATGCGCCTATCAAACAAATATCTTTCATGACACAACTAATATGTTAAGAGAAAAGGCATAAATTTGTTATTTTGCTATATATTTGCGTTCTTTAGAGTATATTTTAATATCTACTTTAATACATATTTTAATATACTAGAGTATGTTTTAATATCTACTTACTTTGTGTTTGAACAAACGCGTGATATAAGTCTCTGCAAAGTAGAGGATCAGGTAGATCCCTAAGATACTCCTTTAAGAGGGTGGCTACATCATGCGGACATTGTTCGTCCTCGAGTGAGGATTCTTTGCCACAGTCAAAGTCTTCTCTTAGCTAAAAAAATTAAATATGAAAATAATTAAAACAAACATAGTTTAGACACCATTACTACATAAAATCTGGATCTATGAATACTAAAATTGCACTGGACTACCCTGTATGTTATGAGGTTTTTAGAAATATCTTTAACACTTTTTTAAATTTTATGTTATGTTAGGTATCTTTCATATACATTGAAATATATAGTAACTATTTCCTGGAAATATTTCTTTAACCTCCAGTTATGTTAACTATCTAAGTATCTAGCCAATATCTCGAAAATTGCAGTTACCTGTCGAATTCGTTTTTTCGACGTGCTGACCCTGAATAGACCTAAGGTATGCAATCCATGCCTCTCCAAATGCCTAAAACATTCCGTTAGAATATTTGGAACGGCTGCTTCCTCTTCCATAGCGGCGGCAGGAATATCCGCGTTCGAGCTGCAAGATATAGAGTCCAGTAATCCTGGCACGCTGCCGATCATTCGTTTGTGCAGGACGAGGTTTTCACACGAGCCTTTCTGAAATTAAATATATACATTATCTTTGTGTAAAATAGTACAGTCCACTGAATATTAATTTATTGGAAAATGAGCTGTTTTATTTCAAAATGTCTTAATATTAAATCAAATTAGTATACGTTTTTATTTTTTCCAATTAACTTTATATTATATTTAGTGACGCAATATTACTTAACAGTCAATTAAAACTTAAGTTAATAAAGTTATGGTTGAAATATTTTACCTTTTTGTTTTCGAAACTTTAGCATATAAACGCCATCATTTAACGTAAACTGTCACTGTTATAGTAACAAAATTTATTTTTTAATTATATTAGTTATAACTATTTTTAAGAGCATTGCATAAAATTTTCTTATTTAACTCATGGATTTTTATGGAATCAACTTTACCATAAAAGTGACGAAATAATTGTCTTTAGTAACATTACACACTTAATAAAATTAACTATTATAAATTAAAAAAAGAAAATATCAGTGGTTGGCTGTATACCATAGTATACCACAGAGAAGTAAAGACTTCTGGTATATAATTTTATTTTATAAAAAATAATTAAAACTAATCCAAATGGTTTACAATTTTTCAAAACATTTTCGGTTCAATCGAACAATTATCGGTGAAATATTTTAAAATAAAAAAAATATTTAAAAATTCCTTTATAAAAGGTATAGGTATATTAAAAAAAGAGGGAAAACTTATAAAGAGAAATTTTTGAATAATTTTTTTGTGATATATGGTATAAGTACAATCAGCTACAGGAACTTAGTTTTCTTGTGGATGTTAAAAGTTGAAATTAGCTATAAAAATAGGTATAAAGACCTTACAATTATATGAAACTCATAGTTAATAGTAACAATATATTGACGTCGATATTAAGGGATTTCACATAAAGAGAACCTACATCCTCCCTGCTCGAAAGAAGGACGACTTTGTATAAAGCTAAGTTCCTGCCAACTTAGCTATTTATCACTATAAATAATGTTGCCAAAATAAGTTGGTTGGCTGTTTAAAAAGATTTCTACTATAAAAATTTCCCACAATAATTTGCGTCGCCCTGTTAATTTTTGTTGACGTTTGCGATTAGTCTTACATATTTATCATCGACTTATGATAATTTTGGAATATTGTTTGGTTTCCATTGACTGGTGGAGCCAGTCAATTTCAAGTTTTCTCTACGTTTCCGTCTCAATTTGGTGGGTTGGTTAATTTCACACAAATAGAACTCGATTTGGCGTTGAAACGGTTCTAGCAATATAGTCTAAGGAGAATCAGGGAGCAGAGCCCCATGCACGAAGCCCCCAGTATGTAGGAGACTCTACGTGGGAGCCGGAGTAAGGCTAGACTGGACTGCTCATAGGTTGAATGGATGAATCATATCTTCATTTTGATTGGAATGAGAATATTCGTACCCGTGTAGGGTCAGTTGACCCTCTTCAGGCTTGAGATTGAATGTTTGTTGCATGGCTTGTACAAAGGCAAACATACCCAAAAGTCACTGGTGAAAGCTCTTCTTCTTATTGGATGGTTTGAACCTTTTTCTTCTCCTGGAGGAGTTTTATAAACTTGCAGAGATCCAGAGAACCAGGGAGAAAGGCTTTGTTGAAAATGGTGTTTTTTTCGGGGACGGGTGTGCTCGTGAATGGAGGCGCCTCGGCTTGTCACATTTTGCTTAGTGTGAATGTGTGTGTGAGATTCCAACAGTGACGAACGCTACCATTTAGTTGTTACTGACTCCTCGAATTACTAAGATTTTCCCCGGCCGACTACAGACTCCGTGTAAAGTAACAAAGGCTGCAGGCGGTCGGGGTTCCCGGTGATGAGGGTGCATCGGTAGCTTGAAAGAGGACCCCTTTCACTGTTTTAATGTGTGAGTGTGTGTTATGTGAATGTGTGTGTGTGTGGTGTGTGTGTGTGTGTGTGTGTGTGTGTGTGTGTGTGTGTGTGTGTGTGTGTGTGTGTGTGTGTGTTGTGTGTGTGTGTGTGTGTGTGTGTGTGTGTGTGTGTGTGTGTGTGTGTGTGTGTGTGTGTGTGACTGACTAGGGAGCAACTAAAACCGTGTTTTCTAGGAACCATTGTTTCTGCAGCCGTTTATGCGTTTGCAAACAACACAAAACCAGGTGTTTAGTATTGCACTAAAATTCTGTAGTTGGTTGCTCCCGCTAACGGCCAGGCCTCGTCGGAGTTCGATAGGCGGTTCCAGCAGCTGCCGATTCAGGTGAGAAAACAGTTGCGGCTATTTTCTCCGGGACAGATAGGTATCGTTGAGTAATGAGATTGTGAAACCACAAAAAACCAATCTACCCTGTCCGGGGCAAGGAATGGAATGTGTGTGTGACTATCTTTGGCGATAGGCTAACGGAGTGACCTCAAGAATGTCATAGTATTCCGCCGGAAGATCATCGATACATGTTTGCATCAAAATAGAGGGTACGTAACGGTGTTTGTTTTTGGGATACCGGGATACTACATGAACTTTGAAAGAGCAGGAATTTTTAAGGGTATTTTGGGTATTGGACGGGTGACCATTGATGGTTTTGAGAGTGAAGTTCCTGTTAAGAGTTTTTATTCTCTCGAGAATGGGGGTGGTGTTGGCCATTTGATGGATTTCACGGGAAGGGAAGTACCACGGTTTTCTGCACGTCCTGAGTAGAATTCTGCGCTCAACAGAGAGTAATTTTTTCCTCTGATAGCCCTTAAGAAGACAGTATAAGTGTGCCTTATACTCCATAACGGGTCGAATGAAGGTTTTAGAAGTATGTGTGAGAGTCTTGTTGTTCGTTTTGCCAAACGTCCCTTAGATTGGTATTAGGAGACGGGCTCTGTTTCTGACTTTATCTAAAGTTGCCTTTAGATCAGGTTCCCAATTAAGCGTCTTAGTAAGTAAAACGCCTAAGTAGGAAGCTGCCGAGCTAGTTACGAGGGTCATCATTGCGTATGAAACGCAACGCTATATGGGGGCTGCGAAACACAATAGATTGTGTTTTTGCAGCGTTTAGGGTGACTCTTTACTTATTGCACCATTCTTTGATACCGTTTAAAAGAGTTTGTGCTCTTCTAAAGGTTCTCTGAGGAAGGTAGTCGCTCCCTGTTGTTAGGAGGGCAATATCTTCCGCATAGAGGTACAGGTGGGTGTGAGGTGTGTTCGGGGTAGGACTCATGGCTTGGAAAATGCACCCTTTATATACACTTTATTTCGTATGGATATGAACATTTCCAAGTCCAACGGCCAATCGTAAATTGAATAGGAGGTAGAAAGGCGGGGCAATGCGCATTGACGTGCTCATTGGTCCACAGATTAAAGCGCGCGATGACAATATGTAACTAATTTATAAATTTATAAAAGAAATATTTATTAAATAACTATATTTATTAAAAAAACAATTGTTGATAAAAAAATTAAGGCTTCAGGAAATTTATAAAAATAATATGTATTGTCCTTAAAAGACATTACTCCGTTGTTCCTTTTGTGTGCAGGTTTTAAATTTGTTTGCCAATTTAGGCACATTTTATTAACATTTCTTTTTACTTTCCCCGTATTTCCTTTTTTCTATTTTCAACTTTCATTGCTATTTTTTTTTCCCAATTATATTTTTACATGCACTTTATTGATATTTATATTATTAACCTAACCTAACATGTTTGTTAACAAAAAACGGTACTGAAAGGATGACTAACACTATTTTGTGATAAAAAGTCGTATTGATGATTTAAATATTTTTATAGTGTGTTCCCGTACGTGTAGAATAATTTGTTGGATCGTGACGTATGATGCATCATTGGAGGAGAGGGATAGCAAATATATTAACACAAAAAAATACACATGGCGAAATTGCTTGGTCCGACTGAAGCGTGCGATGTGTTAAATCAAAGGGAAAGATTTGCAGAAATCTTTCTTGTAGCACTTAACAAAGTTATAATTACCATTTGAATCGCCAAACTTCGAAAGGAGGCGGTGCAATAAGAAGAAATCTCAGTAACTTTACATATTTATTTCAGATCATTATTCTACCTACTCTAAGATCTACTGTATTCATGAAATTAATTACGATCAGTACTTGGTCATCACAAAAAACACTTAGGCAAAAATATTTTTCCAGCAGATTTTTTAATATGAAATTTCTTACTCGTTTAAGACCGACAGTACATTTATTTTATCAATTGCAGCTTAGTTTATGAGTCCTAAAAATGTACCCAAGTTTCATCCATAATATTTGCAGGGCTTAAAAAATTTGCATTGTTTTAATTCGAGCAGAGATCGAACGTTTCTATCCTTGCATGCTTTTGGTCAATATTCAGACGTTCGATTATTTATATCTTGGTCTAATGTTCTAATCGATGTAAATTATATAACAGACGCTTTTATATCAAATGTCAAGTGCCTTACTTACGCATTTTGCATTCACATATCCATAAATTCAAAGAAAATTTAGAATTAAACAAAAACTATGAGATTGGAATTGAATTTTAAAAAAAGGCAACACAAATATAAGCTTTTGCACAAATATCAGCATTTGCCAAAATATAAATTAATAAAAATTATCGACGCGTCTTATTTACAAATGGAGCCTAAACAGAAGTGTGCTTGGTCGCCCAGACAAATGAAACGTGCCATAAGGACCGCTAGTGGTGGAGCAAAGTTAAGAACGACAGCTGCTTTGTATTATATCCCTGTTATGACTTTATCTTATTACTCAAAAAGAGGCAGTCATGATCCATCGTTTCATATGGGAAGAAATCCTGATTTTTCTAATGACAGGAGACAGAAATTAGAGATCAAATATTGCTTCTGGCGGGGTTGTTTTATGTATTAACGCCACAGTCATTAAAGACTACTATGTTTGCATATGCTAAGTCTATTAAAATTACAAAAACTTTTAAAAGATATATATATATATATATTATATATATATTATATATATATATATATATATATATAGCCGGTAAAGGCAGGTTTTATGTATTTTAAAAAAGAAATCTTGAAATGAGAGTCAGGCGCCCAGAAC